ACTTTCTTATATAATGTATTCAAATCACAAAACAATTTATTATAATATTTATTAGAATTTATTTTATATAATACTTAAGTTTTATATTTGACCTAAAATCTATGAAAAAAAATAGATTAAATTAATTATTTATGGTGTATTGATGAATGAGAGTTTTATTTTTTTTATAAAATAATTTATATTTTTATTTGATAATTTATAAATTTATTTGATAATAAAGTTAATTTTTTATTAAGAAATATGAAAGTATTTATATTTTAAAATAGTAACTATTTCCCTAAAAAAATATTTACTATTTCAGGAAATTAATTTAACAGTTTATGGTATATTTCAAATAATCACTTATGAAAATTTCAACTCATTATTTAGGGAAATAATTAAGCCATTTAAAAATTCATTTTTAAAATACCTTAATAAACCTCTAACAAAACAGTAGGAAAGGCCGGAGAGCAAAGTGAGACCCAACAAACTTTTCCTTACTCAATTTAATTTAAGAATTTATGGTATATTTCAAATAAATTTATTTTTAAGATACCTTAATTCCTCTAATCATGTGAATTAGTTGATCCACCCAACTATGAGAATTTCGGCTGCAATATCAATTATGTGATTTGGTAAAAAATTTCCAACTAAATTGTATAATTTATTATCTAATAGGTGTTTTATATTTTTCGTTTAATTCTTTTGTTAAATATATTTTTAATATACCTTAATTACGTAAATTGTGTAAATCTGACTGATTTATTCAATATGTGAATAATTACTAAAATTATCGAAATATTGACAACAATAATTAATTATGAAGGTTGCAAAAAACTGTTTTACAAAAATTGTGTTAAGGACAAATTTTATTTAAATATAAATGTTATTCATTTTTTGTGTATTCGAATGCTAAAATCTCGGATAATTAAGAAAATAATTAGACAATAAAAATTTGCAATTTTAAGATACCATAGTTAGGCTGATTGTGTAAATTCGACTGATTAATTCAATTATAATTTTTTCAAAAATTATTCTAAAATAATTGTGTTAATGGCAATTTATATTTAATTATTTTTTAATAACTATTTTTTAGGCCTTTTTTTTTTTATTTTTGTATATAATAAACATGAGTATTTTATTTGTCTTGTACGTCGAGCGATTAATTTTGTGGTTAAAATGAATGTCATTTTTTGAAGTTTATCGATAAAGTATGAAATCGATTTATTTGGTATTACTATATATTGATCCAATATACCAACTTATGGTAATAAATGATATCTCAATATTTTTTTTTTCATATTTGCTAAGCATTTTACTCGATAAATGAAAAAAATATGGATTATACTATGGTCGATTCTTATTTGTAAATGTGCCTGAAACATATCAAATTATTTGGCGTGTGTGTGCATATATAAATGTTTTACTTAAATCATATTGAAGTTAAGTCGAATTTATGAATGAAAATTTTAAAATGACATATATTTTAAAATGAATATAATGTACTATATGTTGTTACTAATTGATTGTGTACATAATTAGAAGATACAACATGATTAGCGGGATTGATATCTCTAACTTCAACATGGAATATAATGTGTTCACACTTCACACCCATGTTTGCAAAATCATGCCTTAATAATTACTACAAAAATAAACCCAAAAAAAAAATCTAAAATATAAAAATACACGAGATTATATATATTATTTTATATGAGATTCTTTCACGTGTTTTATTATTTGGAGTCAAAATGGATAATTCCAGATAGTCTGACATTTGTCCATTCACTTTTTTAATTTTACAATTTTACCCCCACACCGAATCCATGCCTCCATCAAATCTGCCCTATAAAAGCTGGGGATTAGAGAGTAATAATTAAGCCACTAGCAATTAATTGATAATTTTCAGCTAACTCACTTGATATTGTGAATTAAGCATTTAACAGCTCATTAATGGCCAATTACAAGCTCCAGCTCTTTAGCCTTCTCCTCGTCGCAATTCTTCTTTCAGGGATCAATATGTATTCGTTTCTATTTTATGCATCAT